TTCAGTATCAGTAATGAGCTCTTTTAACAATAAGCAATGCTAAGAGCATTTTAATTTTCTTAAATAATTATTTTATTTAACTTTATTTATTTTATTTTAATTTGAACAGAGACAGAATGAGAGAGAGTGAAAAAGCAGGCCACCAGGTCCAGGACTCGAACCGCAGTTGGCCACGTGAGAGTCCAGTGCCCTTAACCACTACGCCCCTTGCCGGTTCCTTTATTTTTATTTATTTATTGTTTTTGAGAGGTTTTTGCTATAGGGTGCGTGTGCTTGCTATAGAAACAGAGACAGACAGAGAGTCAGAAAGTGAGAAATCACTCCCCGGGGGATAGCTATGCCACAATCCCTTCTCCTCCATTCTCCTCTCGGCATGAGTTTAAGCGGTTCCAGGACTCGAACCATGCTCAACTACATGGTAGTCCAGCGACATAGACATTACGCCAACTGCTGGTCTCTTTATTTTTATTTTTTAACAATTCTGAAAAGTAGACTCCCAGTTAAACTTATCTGAGTTTAATTAGCTTAAAAAGTTGACTGGGAATTTGTCCAAAATGTGCTCATCAAAAAAGAAAAAAAAAAAATGAAAGAAGAAGAAAGAAATAGGATTATGGGGGACAAAATTAATTTGAAAACTTCAACTTGGAAAAATAGCTAAAGATAGAAATGCTGAAGGTAAAATAATTTTATTTCTAAAGTAGTTCAAAATAATACCCCTGAGATTTTTGACATACTCCTTTCAGAAAGGAGCGAGCTTACAAGAAGAAAAAAATGCTAAAATGTATGAAATTACCAAGGGTACAATGTTACTGAAATACTACAAGATTATTTTGCCAACTCAAAATATTCAATTTTTCAAAAGTTCTTTTTGTATAATTTGCTAATGTAGTTAAACTATAACCTTATAGGGATCAGGAGATGGAGTAATGGTTATTTTACTGGACTCCCACATAGTCAACCATAGTTCGGGTATTGTACTCGGCAGCTTAAAACTCACGCTGGGCATGCATGTGTGCGTGCGTGCCCAAGATCCCGAGAGGAGTATGGAGGAGAAGGGATTGCGATGGGGCCATCCCCCCAGAGGGTGATTTATTGCCTTCTGTCTCTCTCTGTCTTCCACTATCTTTCCAGCAAGTGCATGTACCCTATGACAAAAATCTCTCTAAAATAAAAGTAACCTTTAAAGAATTTAAAGTGTTTCCTTTATGTATTAAACAAGTTCTTTTTGGCATACATAGAATTACATGAATTTAGGACTGTCTAGAAAACAATAGACTATATAATGAAAAGGTAATACTGCTAGTGACCTCAGTGATATGGCCTTACTAAACTCCTTACTGGCTAGTAAATAATAAGATCTTAAATGCAAAGATACTTCTCTTGAATAGAATGTTTTAGATATGGTTGGGCTCAGTACGTTTTTGTGGAACAAGTGAACATTATTGAATTAAGGTAGATCTGAGAATGTTTGCTGGTTGATACATATTTTCCTGATTGTCTTTACTAGTTGTGCCTAATTTAAATACTAACTGATAAAATAGCAGCAGTTGTACGTGTTTACAGTTCTCTCTGTGCAAATGAGCACTTTTGAATGTTCTCTGAAAACTAGTATGTCTGTATTGGTTAGAAAGAAATTAATTCGCACATGTAATAAAATAATTCCAGTGATAAAATAGTTCCAGGTTCTAAAGCAATGTTGATAAGAATCTCTCTCTCTAGATCCCAACATGACTAGTTTCTATGTTGCTTTCATTCTCAGGCAAATAGGAAGGTACTTCATAAAGTTCATGAAAGAAAGGAATTAAAGTACAAGTTTATTTTTGTGCAAAAAAATTTTTGAAATCCACACGTAGTTTTTGTGATACCTTCTCTATGAATTTTTTGAGGATTCCTCGTGTGGTGGCAAAGATAGGACCACTCAGCAATGCTGTGAAAGAGTTGCTTTGTTTTGTTTTGCTTTAGGGTGCGTGCGCTCGCCAGACAGACAGAGAGAGACAGAGAGACAGAAAGCAAGAAATCACCCCCCAGGGGGGATGGGCACTCCGCACATTCTCCTCTTGGGATCTTGGGTACACACGCACATGCGCCTGGCGTGAGTTTTAAGCCACTGGGTCCAGGACGCAAACCGAGGTCGACTACATGGGAATCCAGTGACATAGCCATTACGCTAACTGCCGGTCCCCACGAAAGAGAGTGTTTTTGTCCTTACGGTAGAAGCTCACTTGTCTTGCCTTAGCTAGGGGTCACTTGCCCACCCCTGAATCATATGACAGCTCTGCAATGGGATACTGGTATACTCATTTTAGTTTCCTGTGGCTGGCGTAGAAATGACTAAAAACCGGGTGCTTAACACAATGCAGCTACATCCTATTGCCTCTGTGGAAGCCAATGACCAAAGTCAAGGGTTTGGCAGGGCCATACTCCCTCCAGAGGCGCTAAGGTGGATTCTGGGGTTTTTGGTCACTTCCAGCTTCTGGTGGTTCCAGTCTTCCCTTGGTTGTGCCCACATCCTTCTAATCTCTGCCTCTCCTCTGTGGCCACATTCCCTTTCTGTCTATCCGTGTGTCCCTTCTCTGTCTGTGTCGAATCACCCTCTGTGTCTATCCTGTAAGCACAGATGTGATTATATTTAAGGCCCACTGGGATAATCCAGGATGATCTCATCTCAAGATCCTTAACTTTATTATAGCTGCAAAAAACCTTTTTCCAAATAATGTCACATTCACAAATTCCAGGGATTAGGATGCAGGCATATATTTTTGGAGACCACCATTCAACCTGCTACAGCTGGTAAATGCTTCACAATCTCTTTGGCAGGAAAGAGGAAGTCTTTATATATAGCATTAGCTCAGTTCTGCAGTGTAAGCACTGACACCAAGGCCATTTTCTAGCTATCCAGGGCAATCACTGAACACGGGATTGGGAAAAGAGCACACTAGCACACCATTATATAATATTCCTACCATGCAGTTTCAAAAGCTGTAAGTTACTTAAAGAGCATAGATAAAATGTAGTCAAATCATTAGGAAGTGATAAAGTTTAAGTAGTATTAGCTTTACTTAATTATAAATTTATATGCTATAAATTTTAATAGTGATTGAATCAGCAGGGGTGGTTAAGGCACTGGATCCTACATGATTGACTCCACAGTTTGAGTTTCAGACCCAGGGGCCTAAAAAACATGCCTATGTGTGTGCATGTGTACTCAAAATCCCAAGAGGAGAATCAAGGAGAAGGGGTTATGGTGTGACCAAGTCCCATGGGGGGTGATTTCTCTTTTTTCCTCCTTCTCTGTCTCTCTCTGGCATGTGCCGTATGGCAAAATAATGATGATGATGATAATTGTATTTAACTCACAGAATTGCTGAACATTTACCAGTTGGTTTGGGTGAGCTGGTGTGAGTTGCCTCCAACACATCACTGGACAGAATGTGCTGACTGATGAGGCCAGGGTCACGGAGCCTCCAGCATAAAGTCAGCAATACCCAAACCATGTGAACTAAACACTGCATGGGTGGTTTGTTAAGAGAAAATTGGGATGCCGAGATACTATTAGCTAAAGAAGGAGAAAAAAATATTAGGAAGACAAAAATAAGAAACCTACCCTCAGTGCCATTGTTTAAACATATTTTAATGATTTCAGGCTAAGAAAGAAATTTTCAGCAAAGTTCAAATATTACAGGTATGAGTGCCGTGGGTATTCAGGGACCTAGAAATCAGACTCTCTCCACCTAAGGAAAAATCACTATTTTTTTGATTCTTGTTTTAATAGCTCAGAAAATCTATTTTTAAACCTGAACACGTTTAACACAGGTGATCAGGTTCAGAAAAAAAAGAGAGAGAGAGAGAGCTAAACTGATGGTCTTTCTCTCTTTTGTAAAAGTATCTTTATTTTTGGAGATGTTTTTGCTATAGGGCATGTGCGCTCGCCAGGAAGAAGACAGAGATAGAGAGATAGAAAGCGAGAAATCACCCCCTGGGGGGGATGGCCATACCACAATCTCTTCTCCTCTAGTCTCGTCTTGGGATCTTGGGCACGCACGCGCACACACCCAGCATGAGTTTAAGCCACCAGGTCCGGGACTCAAACCGTGGTTGGCTACATGGGAGTTCAGTGACATAGCCATTACGCTAGCTGCTGGTCCTGAAAGTATCATTTCTTACAGGAATTTTGTTTGTTTTTTGTTAGAGAGATTTTGCTATAGGGTGAGCATGCCTGCCAGACAAACAGTGAGAGACAGAAAGTGAGAAATCACCCCCTAGGGGGATAGTCACACTATAATCCCTACTCCATTCTTCTCTCAGGATTTTGGGCATGCACATACATGTGCCCAGTACAAGTTTAATCCACTGGCTCTGGGATTTGAACCAAGGTCAACTACGTGAAAGTACAACAATGTAACCATTATGCCATCTGCTGATCTCTCTTAAAAGAATTTTAACAGCTTTATAGAAATATAATTCACACTCCATGTATTTTACTCAAAGGACAAAACTCAATGCTTTGTTTCATAGAATTATTTTATTTATTCACTGTGTCTGCAAGCCCCAGCCAACCAAGTCTATTTGCTGTCTCTATAGATATGCCTATCTCAGAATTTCACACAGATGGAATCGTACAGTCTATATTCCTTTATGCCTGGCTTCTTTTACTTAACATGCTGTTCTATGGTTCGTTCATGTTGTGCCATGTATCAGTGGTTCTTTTCATTGCTGAGTAGTATTCCAGTGTATAGATATTCTACATTATGTTTATTCACTCCTTAGTTGAAAAAACATCGGGATTATATTCCCTTTTTGGCTGTTCTGAAAATGCTGCTATGAACTTTCATGTACCAGTTTTTATGTGGACATTTTTTAATTTCTCTCTCTCTCTTTCTTTTAAGGAATTATTTTATTTAACTTTATTTATTTATTTTTAATTTGACCAGAGAGGGACAAAGTGAGAGAGAGAGGATAAGAAAGCAAGCTGCCAGGTCCAAGACTTGAAATGTGGTTGACCATGTGGGAGTCCAGCATCCTTAACCACCACACCACCTGCTGGCCTTCATGTTTCTATTTCCCTTAAACCAATGGTTTTAAGTTAAAATGTTTATGTTTGGCACAGTTTCTTACTTAAGAAATTGTCGTTTAGGTCCTAAGTCAGAAATCCCATATCTAGAATTTCAGTCCTCTTAAATATTGAATGACCACTCCAACCCTGCTATTTCTAGGCAGAGAGGAGGAGAATTCTGTCTGTTAGGAGAAAGTAGAAGCTGACTTGGGGCTCACCAGTCACTGCGCAGACATGACTGAATTCCCTCTGCAGCACCTGAGTCTGGGCCTTACCCACAGCAGGCTCACAACAATTAACCCCTCGTAATGTTCCTTCAGTGACTGTCCATATGCGAAGTATAAAGAATAGTAGAAATACAACCTTTTTCTTGGCCTGGAAATCAGAGTTATGAGATTTGGGAAACTTGAAAGAAATGGGGGGAGGAGGAATAGCTTTCCTGATAGAGGCCAGTGGAAAATTTCATTTTCTCCCTTGCGTGACTTGGGAGAGTTCTTCGATGTGTCCTGCAGACCTGCAAGGAAAAAGAGGCCCCTATATTAATTTATATAGCAACTTTCTTCTAAGAAATCCAGCGTGTCTCAAACAGTCTTTGACTCATTCCCCCTAGGGAGTTTGCATAACGTGCATAAGAAATTACTTCTTTTAAAATTTACACTCTCCAGTTGGCCAGTACTGGGCAGAAATAGAACTGGGAAAGCAAAACTCCTGACCAAACATTCCACTATAATATTTTCAGTGAGCTTCTATAAATTAATGCATATCCTTAAAAACAGGATCTCCTCATAATATCCCCATGACTCTACTCACCGATGACTGATGTTCCTTTCAGCAGGCGCAAAACTTTCCCTTCCAAATTAGAGTCAACTGGTATGGCATGTACCATGAAATCGAAGTGTATCATTTATGTACAATTAAGCTCTCAGGACCACCCAGACCCTCAAACAGACAGTCCAGGTTTTACTCTCTAGCTCAGCCCTCCTAATTCACCCCAACTGAGAACCTCTGAAGCGTTCTAGGACCTGCTTGATTCAGAGGACAGTCCAGCTTACAGACACAGGCAGAAAGCTGGAGCCTGAGCCCAGCTCACTGCTGTTCTGTGCTGTGTCTCAGGGTTGCACTGACCTTCGGGGTCTTGCTGGGCAGAATATCTGGCTCCAGTTTCCCCAAGTCCAGCTCAGGGCCTAGGTGGATAAGCCTGGGAAAGCTTCTGGTATCAGCTATATGCAGGGTCAAACCCAGCCCTGAATAGCAGATATTTGTATTGGAGTTTTCCTCAAGACATTATTCTGATGTTGTCTATGCCAACCCTGAGAAAAGAAATGTGGGGTCAGAGTGACATGGATACCTTGGGGAACCATATCCGGGGCAATATCTGTACCTTTATTCCCACCCCCCAAAACCTCTGGGCTCCCTAAGTTTCTTCCCAGTGTCTACCAGGGAATGGGAAGTTTTAATCCAGTTAGTGATAAGTAGTTCATACAGTGTCCCATGCTGCCTCTAACCTTAGGTATATTTTGTTTGAGATCCCCATAATCTTAACAAGCACATTATTTGAAATTTGCGTTAGTTGTCAACCAGGATTCATTAAAAAATTGGGGGGGGGGAGTCAGAGCAACATCACAATGTCATCCTTTTTGACAATTGAAGAATTTTGAGATGGAGAAAGAGGAACATTTAACCCAGCGTGGGGCACTTTTAAATACAGAGTCCTGTGTGACTGTACAGATCACAAGTCCAGGAAGTCTGCCCTGCTGCCAATATTCAAAAAGCAAATGATTCTTAAGTTAGAAAATGGTGAGCCCCGTTCTGCATTTCCAAATGGCAGCATGTAATTGATCAGTACTGAGTAGTCACTTATGTTAGTTTGCTGGGGCTGCCATAACAACATGTCACAAACTGGGTGGCTTACATGACAGAGATTAATTTTCTCACAAGTCTCGAAGCTCCAGTTTGAGGTAACGGTGTCAGTAGGCCTAAGTCCCTGGCTCGTCCATGGCCTTCCCTGCCCCGTGTCTTCACATGGCCTTCCTCTCCACCTGTCTGTGTTCCCATCTCTAACATGAGTAATACTGGATTAGGGCTCTCCTGGTTAGAGCTAAACTGTCCTTTTAGAGGCGCTGTCACCAAGTGCAGTCACATTTTGAGGTACTGGGGACCAGAGCACCCACATAGGAAATGTGGAGGGGCAGCCACAGCACAGCACAGTGGTCCCAGCCTGCACTCACCCCGCTCCAACACAAGCACAGACAGACTCTGCCTGCCACTCTCCGAGCCGGGTGTCTCTTGTCATCAGTCATCCCATTTTTGCTGCTGTTCCTTTTCCTCCTGGTTCACCTCTTTCATTTAGAGAGATGCGCTCCTTCCCTGTGGCATATGGAATAATGACACCATGGATTAGGGGACAGTGGCTACACTCTATGTTCACATCAGCAAAACTAAGGTTGCTGCTCAAGTGATCCTTTACAAGACAATTATCGATTTCTTTTTTTTGTTGTTGTTAATTGCCCGAGGGCACACACATTCACCATTACTCGAGGAGGGAAAGCAACATCCTCCCCCAATGGGGTATGGCCATGCCACAGTATCTTCTCCATTTTCATCCTGTTGAAATTCGGGGCAGGCCCACTTGTGTGTCTAGCATGTTTTTTAAGCCATCCAGGCAGTTGGCCACATCAGACCAGGCTCCCTTTAACCATTAGGCTACAGGGCCAGCTCGCTCATCAGTTTCTTTTAAAGAAAGAAAGAAAACTAGATGGCCAGGTGGTGGCACAATAGTAGCATGGCTGGACCCACAAGGAAGAGGTCTGGGTCTGTTTCTCTCTGAGCTCACTGTGTGTGTGCATGTGTGCTGGTCACCAGAGACAAGGGGACAATCATGGCATGAAGACCTGGTGGAGATGCCTCCCTCTCTCTCTCTCTCTCTCTCCCTCTTTCTGTCTCAGAAGAAACATATTTATATGTTTATATATATATATGAAGAAATAAAAAAAAAAAAACACTTAAAAGAAAAAAAATGTCTTGGAGTCAGTCAGTGGTGTGATGGTTAAGGTGGCTGAATCTCATATGGCCAACCATGCACTTTGAGTCCTGAACCTGGCAGTTTGAAAATTACGCCAAGCACATGTGCATGTGTGTCCAAAATCCCAAAAGGAGAAGAGATGGCACTATGGCCATTCCCACTCAAGGGTGCTTGCTTTCTCACTTTCTCTATCTCCCTCAGGGAGCACCTATACCCTTTAGCAACTTTTTGTTTTAAGTATCATTACATAGAGATACCGTTAAGCGAAATGCAGGATAGAAGAAACAGAATGAGGTATAACTGACTGCTCTCCTTAGAGGCCGGAGTGGCAGGTTTTAGGAGAGTAAAACGCTCAGCGACTGCATAATTCTTCTCTAGGTCTGATTCCACTTAAAATCCCCCGACTGTTCAAGGGACAGCCCAAATTTCAATGGAAACCCAAACAAGTAGCCCCTTGGAGAGAATGTATTCCCAAATTGGTCTTTGTACCTATTTGTAGAAAAATGTTAGCCAGATTATAGCTGAAAACTCTGCTAATTCTGGGGAAGGTTTTGGGCTGGTGCCTGGAACTATTGAAGCACATATTCACACCTACCACATGTAACACTTAGTAGCAGAATTTCCAGCACAACACTTGAGTACTTTATTTTTAAAAGAAACAGAGTGGTGACTGAAGTCCTGCTCACTCTGTAGATTTCTTACAGGAGGCTCCAGAGAAGGGGAGGGGGACCTTCTGTGCTGAAGAGAGGTATATTTTGCATTTTTAAAAGAAAAAGAGACACAGAAATCTTTGCTTAGAAGCAGGGAACACGTGATGCTAAAATATACAACACGTGCACCTGTGTATAAATAGAAGAAATGACACCAGATCTGCAGGACTCTGAGAAAAGAGAGTATAATGTAATGATTATCTAATAAATCCCAATATTGGAGTTTAAAAAAAACCTTAAAAACATCTTATTCTATGGGCATGCAGATTGAGGTGACTGGATCCCACTTGGCTGACCAGGTGGTTTGAGTCCAGTCTCATGGTTTGAGAATCATCTCGGGCACCTGTGCCTGCATGCTCAGAATCCCAGAGAGAGAATGAAGGAGTGGAATTGTGATGTGGCCATTCCCCCGCCCCCCAAGTAATTTCTCATCTCTCTCCCTCTCTCTTCCTCCCTCTCCCTCTCCCTGCCCTACTCTGGTAAGCGCATACACCTATAGCAAAAACTAAAAAACAAACAACAAAACAAAACACATCTTTTTCTAATGTTGGTTTTAAGACAAGAAAAGAGAGATTCTAAAAACTTAAAGAGTCACCAGCACTCCCCCTAAATGTACCTAAAATGCAATGTCCTTCCCACCCCACATGGCTACTTCTAAACAGGCATTGTCCCGGTGTCCTTAATTGCATGCAATAAAAACCCACCACCACCACCAACAACAACAAAAAAGAACCCGCTGTCTCTATACCAGAATCGCTATTTAGATTCCTGAGTTGAGAAAGCAAAGGCTATTTCAGCTTCAATTCCCTTAGCAGACAGAAGAAAAGGCATCTGACCCGTCAGCTTCTCCAGCTGCTCCCTGGGTCTCCACGGCAGCTAGCTGGCACCGACTGCCAGTCTGACACCAGGGGGCGCAGCGTCCTTTGTCCTGACAGGCATCAAAGACAGGCTCAGAAGCCTGGCTGGGCCTGCAAGAAATTTTGACTTTCCCTCCTTTCAGTTTCTCATTGGAACCAGCCCACTCCCCAACCTCTTTCATCATCTTAGAGCATTTTCTTTCTCCCCGACAGATGCTCAAATTTCCTCCTGCCCACAGTCTCAGATTTGTGAATGCTGCAGGGTTGTGGCTGTAAGGACGCTTCAGAGACACCAGCGCCTGTCCAACCGCTCCTCTGCAAAGCATGGGAGACCTCAGCCACCACCAAGCATTTGTTCTCTCTTGGAAGCCCCTAAATTCAGAACATTCCTAGTGATTCTTCCAGTGCAGAGAATGCTCAAGGAATGAGCTTCCTGTCACATCCATCCTCTAATATCCCTCCCCTTTCCACTTGCAAAAATAATCACAAATTAGGAAACTGTTTTGGGGAGCTCCTGCTGCCTCATCCCCTCCCCCTCTGTCTGCCCAGAACAGGCTAAGAATAGCTTTTGATGGTGTATATCTACCAAAGAGTCAAGCGTGTGTATATATCCTTTCACTCCCTTCTGCTACTCGAACCCACCTCCTGTGCACCCGAAGTAGGCTGACTGCCTTCCTGTGACCTCACCAGGTTGGCTCTGTGTGTTCTTCAGCAGAAGGAAATCCATTCCTCTCTGCCAAAGTCTCCTGATTCCAAAGACACAGTGCTCCTCTTACAGATAAATGAGCATCCTCTTCCACTTTAAGACACTCTCCTAACCCTGCCCCCCCCACACACACACACACACACTGCAAACTCTCAAATGCCAAAACATACCCTTTTGCAAAAAGCCGTGACATTTCACTGTTCCTAACTGAAGGGCCACAGGGTCCTATATAGGCCTTTGAAAACATCTGCTATGCCTACATTAAGGGATTTCTTTCACACAGTCCTTTCTCTGTCTTACATTTGAGCCTCCAGATAACCCTGAGATGGGCAGGAAAAAATCAAAAGCTTACAAGGCTTGCCCCAATCCCATACCTAGTATAGGTAGAGGGAGCACTAGGGTCCTGGGTGTTAGGGCATGGGGTAGGGAGGTGCTTGCCCAATTGTGCCAAGGCCTGAAAGGAATACAGCCACTACAAATAACTAGATTATATACACTGAGGGGCCCTAAGGTCTCTTCTCCTAAGAATGTGTAGCATATAGCATACATTAGTGAAATAGGCAGGAGGAGAGACAAAGAAGGGGTGATGTCCACGCTAATCTGACCGCTCTTTCTACCTTCAGCATCACTCCTTTTTTCTCCCCATTCACCTTAGAGTAAGGGGCAAGTGCTGAGCCTGGAGACAGGTAGCCAGGCCTTGTTATCTTGACTGTGAGCTTCCTTCGCTCACTCATAAAATAGTGATTACGCCTCTCAGATATAGAGAGAGTCACCAGAGGAATGTAAATGTTCTCTGGGAGAGGGAGTGGAATGGGAGACTTTTACTTTCATTTTACACTCTTTTGTATTATTTGAAGTAGTCTGATTTATGTATGTATTCCTTTTATAATTCTATTTTTAAAATTTCACTGGGGCTGGGCCAGCAGGTAGCATGGTGGTTAAAGGAGCTGAATTTCCACATGACTGACTGCAGTTCAAATCCCGGACCTGGTGGCTTGCTTTCTCACTTTCCCTTTTTCTCTGTCTCTGTCTGGTCAAATTTAAAAAATAATAACAAATACAAATAAATAAATAAATAAATAATTCATTAAAAACAATTTCATTGGGGCTAATGATGCTCTGATGTTCATTAGAGCTGCTGTTATTAATGACACTTGTCGCATCTGGCTGGGCACATGATTGCACACAGTTGGCACCCCCTAAACAGGAGTTTATTCTTCGCTATAATGCCTCCCTCAAAATGTGGAAGCAAACAGACTTCAAGTCAAGAGGTCTGAGGAGAACTGCAGACTGCTCTAAACTCCCCGAATGCCCTTGAGTAAGTGAAGCCCTTCTCTGTGCCTCAGTTTCTTCATCTGTAAAATGACAAGACATAGGCCAATTTATGTGGAAAATGGTGGGAAGGAGAGGACAACAGAAAGTACCCCCCCCAAATGCCTAGGGTACTTTTAAAAATCCAGTCTTGGTCTTTGCAAGAGATCTCTGAAGCTGGAGTTCACAGACAGAAACACCTTCTTGTGAAACATTGCCATCTAGGATAGGAGGGAACGACTGCAGACAGTAGAATAAGTTCTGCAGCAAGAACAGAAATTCAATTAGGAAACAGATAATGTGTGAACACTGCAAGGTCATCAACTTAGGACAGGAGGTGGGGGAAAGTTTGGGCTGTTCCTTGGGTGCAGTCTGTACTATGATCCTATCCTAATGAGAGATGCCTTGTTGGGCAGAAGGCGTGTAATTCAAGGTCCAGAGATCCCTGGCCCTGGCTGTTTCCTAGAGGGAGGATTCTGTATGGGGCCCAGAGCTGGCACTGGTGAGACTGGGCCTTCTCTCAGCAGGTCCAGGGGAGCTGCTCTTTGGATAAATGAGCTTCAGACAGAATCAAAAGGAACTCTATTCCCACAAGGATAGGGCTAAAACACGTCTCCAGTTTCTTCCAGCATTACCTTTATCTGAAGAACAACAAACAAGTGGAGAAACTGGGCCATAGGCATACAGAAACTTAGTTCTGTCCTTCTTCCTCTTAGCCACTGGTTCGGGAGACTTTTGGTGCACCTCAGCTCCTGAAAATC